TCCTCTTGTTTTAGGTCTTCCCCAGTCTTTTGAGCCGCTATTCACACAAATCACACATAATTAGCACAAAATTCATACAAATATCGCCCAAAAATGGCTCAAAAGTTATACAATCATTGAATTTCTATATATTAGACCGCATAATACCCTCCCCTTTAACACCACTAACGCTAAACCTCCCGTTCCCTCAGAAAGTACACATCAAACCACTCATACATTGCTTGGATATAACGCATCGCATCTGGTATTCAATATCCGCCTGTAGTTCCTCTAACCGGTGCTCCCGTTTCCTATCAACACAACAAACAATTAGACACAACTGTCCGCCCGAACCAAACACCACATCCCTGTCCACTCACATATACATCAACTCCTTCTGACGCCGGGCTAACCGACACCTCTCTCGGGCTGTCGTTAGGAACTCATTCATTAGGGGGTCGTCTTTGGGCGCCACCGGAGCTCCCGTCTCGTCCACACTACCGGTGCTCACCCTCTGCCTGGCCATCAGCACCCGTTCCAGTTCGCGACCCTTGGCCTCAATCACCGGCAGCCTATCGCCCAAACCATTCAACTCGGTCTCGATGTCGGCCAACGAGCTCTTCACCAGCCGTTTGACGGCCGGAATGGGAGGCGCCGGCCGTTTCTTGAGTCCCCTTAAACTCCCGGTGCTCTCGCTGGTAGTCATGGCTCCCGACCCACGTGGCGAAGAAGTGGCGGTTCCGTCGTAGTCTGACAGCTCGTCCCCACTCTTCGGCACCCGTAGTCTGGGAAGGGGTGTCGGTGTGCGTGAGTTGGGCACCGATGAGGTCAGGGAGGCTGTGGTCAACTCGGATGACACGTCCGACACCACGCTATCCCTGCGGCTACTGATGACAGAGTCGTCGCCACCGATGATGTAACTGTTGTTCAGACTACTAGTGCTGTTCACCTGCGGTATACCCACAGCACCGGCTGTAGGAGGTGTGGGCGCCTGTCGTTTCTTTCGCGACCTGAGGCTAGAGGTGGGCGACGACGCGGCGGACAGTTGTGCGGTGGGCGTCACCACCAGTGATGTACGGGGTCTGGGTTTGGGTGTTGTGTTACTGTCATCCCTGTCCTCCTCGTCCTCACTGTCACCGAACGGATTCAATGCGTCGGAAGGGGTGCGCACTTTGATGGCGACCCCCCTCTGCTTATGGGACACCACTTCCTCCCCGTCCTCTTCATCGTCGTCGTCATCGCCGAACGGATTCTTGTCGTCCGGATAGAAGTTCTTCGTTTTGGTCACCACTTCCTCCCCGTCCTCCTCTTCGTCCCCAAAGGGATTCATGTCGTCTGGATATATGTCCTCATCATTGGTGGCATTCATGGAAAGGGCGGATGTCTTGCGATTAACCGGTGATGACTTGTGTTCAGAGGATGTCTTGCTATCAATAGATCTCTTACTATCAATGGATGCCTTCCTATCAACTGGTGATGACTTGCGGTCAATGGATGTCTTGCTATCAATAGATATCTTACTATCAATGGATATCTTCCTATCAACCGGTGATGACTTGCGGTCAATGGATGTCTTGCTATCAATAGATCTCTTACTATCAATGGATGCCTTCCTATCACTTGAGGTATTGCTATCGACGGGTAATGTCATGTGGTTGTCATCATCACCAGTGGTCGCACCACAAGAGTCTATATCATCACTAATGGACACACTTTTGCCAAAAACCTCCGCAAATACCGCTTCCATGGTATCGGTGCTGACGATACGACCACCGCTTTCGTAGTCATTCACCACTTCATCCACATCTCGATGACTATCACTATCACCAAAACTATTGTCTTTCAATTGTCTATCACTAATACACTCATTATTATCACTATTCCTCTGAATACTCGTCACAGAACTGCTTGTTATGGCTGTAGAGGTGGTGTCCATCATATGGTCGCCCACGGGTTGGCCTACTTTAGTGGCATTGGTGTCAACCCTCGCTATCTTATCAATGGGTTTGCTTTCACTATTGATATCAATGTGAATGTCATTTACATTAATCTCCTTATCAATGGCATTAGTGTCAGCATTGATAGCCTGGTATGTATGGCCTATTTGATGGTCGCCATCAACGACAGCACCGGTATCTCCGAGTCTCATGAGCTCATAGCACGACTTGTGGTAACAGTGCTCGTCGTGGAGTAGGCGGTCCGAGTGGTGGACACGGGTGCGGCACTTATGACACTTCATATCACGTCTCTAAACGGGTACACAATTAATGAGAAACTAATTAATAGCTAATTATTTACGCAAAAAGTACAGTATTTTCAGTGAATTAGTAGACTTTAAACTCGTTTTTAGGACCTAATGTATAGGAAAATAATTAACTGATAATTATTTGAAATCATAACACTATTCAACAATCAATTGAATGTCAATCATCTCGCAATTAATTTTGTAATTAATTTTGTAATTATATTTAATTAGGAAATAATGATTTCTAAATTATAATTATTATACCGCAAACACTGTATGTTATAAATTATTAATTAAACTATATTTTCAATCCGTTTACATAATAGCTTATAATAATAATAATCTATACACACTACTGTAAGTATATGCATATAAATTATAAATAATATAATTTTCAAATTAATTTTTTATATAAACTTTTCTAAACACAGATATAAAGTTCAAAAACTAATGCCACAGAAAAATCAAAACTTAATTAATTATTGAATCGTTTGGTGAAAAACCAAATCAAATGCTTTTCGATACTTAAGATTATTGCCTAAATCTCTCTCTCTCTCTCTCTCTCTCTCTCTCTCTCTCGTCGTATCATTAAAACGACGGCAAATATAACGAGTATTTTCTTTAATAGTCATAAAAAACAAATAAATATAAATAGCTTTAAATAAAGACTTTATATAATATTTATTTGACTCTGACTCTTAAAATCCTGTTCCTTATTAAGTGCCAATTCCTCATCACATATAACAACACGACTGTCCCCTCCAGTACCACCGCATGTGTGCACTGCATGTTTCTACCCGTCCCGGTCGACCAGTCATTTCCCATTAGGGGGAACGGTATGTAAGTGTGCATTTTATTTTGATTTTCTATTACTGTTAACCTGTTTCCCCTGTCTCTCATCCGTCAATTGATTTTCATAATAATAAAAATCCTCTCATTTTATGACTCTTTTTATTATTTAGTGTTTATTTGTTTTGATTCCTCGCGAAGTCGTCTCTCTCTCTCTCTCTCTCTCTCTCTCTCTCTCTATCAAACTGTTTGTATAAATCATTCATTGACTCCGAAAAATGTGGAAAAACATTAAATTCAAAACCAAACTATACTTTGTATTCCGTGTACACCGATAGTCAAGAGAGAGAGAGAGAGAGAGAGACCTACCGATAGATTAACATTAAAATCTCAAGTCTTTATAGCAATCCAATGGCGGCCAATGGTTACGAGAGATTCAACACTAATATCAATAATAATAGTAATCATAAAAACAAATACTAATCAATAAAATACATAATTATTAGTCGAAAAGTAATTTTTTCTGAGAGACATTTCCACCCGTTTCTGATGGGAATGTCGTGCGAATCAGTCATCAGTGAATGGAGGGGAACGGTATGTATGTATTGGTAAAAGAGTTATTAGTATTTCTCAGTCAGATAAAAAAATCTTAAAAACTATTTAAAGGTTAGACACTAAACAAAAACTTCAGACTCGAGTCACACGTTTAGACAAAAATATATCAAAACTTTTTTCAATCAAAAGACATATATTTTTAGACAACATTTATCTTATCTATAAATATATCGCAAAAATTATTTTCAATACAATCGATGGTCTAATTGTTTGTGATATATAGACAGATACTTACGGGAGGTATGGGCCGGTTAGCCGGTATGGCGGCACCATCGGCACAGTCAACAGCACCGGTAGTCACAGCACCCATGTCTTTGGCAGCACCGGTATCATTGGCAGGAGTAGTAGTAGTAATACAGTTAGTGTTAGTCTTATAGTCAGCCCCGGAGTAGTTGTTTAAAACCCATTGTCTTGAGTTAGTATTTGTAGGACTGGTAGGACTGGTAGTGGTTATGGAGTCTAGAAAAATGAGAGAGAAATAAAAGTTTGAGAGAAATATTCAGAGAAATAAAATGAATGGAAAATAAATATTATATTAAATGAAAAAACAACTGCTTTTTGGTGTAAAATAAATATAAATTTTATTTAAAAACTTTTTAAAATTTAATTTTAAGGCAAAAAACTTATAATTAATTCGTAATTAAAATCAAAATTAATTAATCAATAATGTCTATAGTAATGAAAATAATTATTACATTTTAAATTATTTATAATATATATAAATCTTATTATTTTTATTTTTGTATTATAATCATAATTATAATCGTAGCGAAAAAAAATGATTAGAAATTAATAAAACATTTGATTTTGCAAATCAAACAAAAATTATTTTCTAATTTATATGGGTGAACTCAAATATAATTAAAGCAAATATAAAATATATATTTTTTCAAATCAAAAATATTCATTTAATATTATAAAATCCAAAAAATAATAATAAAAATAATTTTCTTATTATTTTTCTTATTTCTTAAATAAGATTATCATAAATCAAATGAATGGTGAGATTACTACTCAAAAACATTAATGAATTTCTCGACACAAAACATATATAAATATAATTCAATAATAAATGCATTAATAATCATAAAAAAACATTTTTTGAGCAAAAAATGTGCAAAAATTTGCTCAAAACTAATATATAATTCAAATTCAATTCATATATCAAAAATGACTTAAAAATTGGTGTTTTAAATGTCTTTTGAATGCATAAATCATGTGATAAATTGTGACTAAAATAGTCCTTGCTAAAAACATAATCGTTTATAAGTAGACTATATTTTTTTCAAATGCCATTCACTATAACGAGTGGTGCAGTGGTTGTGAGATATAGTGTTATACAGACATTCATATCGTGTATATAAGTGTATATAAAAAGGTGTATATTTTTAATCAAAAATAAAAAATCATTAAAAATAACTGTATATAAATGTCCACAAACTGTACGTACACTATGGGACTGTGATTAGTGTACAATAAATGAATTATTTGAAAAACAAATCAAAAGTAAATATTTCTATAGTGCGAGAAAAATTCATTAATAAAAAACTGTTTTTTATGCAATCAATTGCGTGTATAATCACAATCGCAATCATATAATAATAATTTTATTATTAATTTAAATTCATTATTAATTATTACTTATTACTTATTAAGTAGTAGAGGGGGAGTGGTAGTAGTAGCAGTCAATAAGTAGGTAGTAGTAGTCATATGTCTAGTAGGAGTAGTAGTTTATAGGGACTAACGTTTTCGGTCACTTTTCGAGCCCTCGAAGCACTCGTAGAACTGGGACAGGTATGTGGCAATGGACAGCCGGTCCGGCTCCTGGTGTTTGAACATATCCTCGGCGTCCAGCAGCGCCGGTACTCCCAAATGCTTTTCCGCCGTTTGGAAAGCCTATTGCGAGTGGAGGGGGGACAGGTAGACACGAAACACACGTGATAAGTAAATCAGTAATTATTTTAATGATAGTCATATAATATTTAGCGATAATTGCCGGGCTCAGTTATCTATAGACAGTCTCTCTCTCTCTCTCTTTCTTTCTTTCTTTCTCTCTCTCGAGTATAGCCACCCCTTGGGCTGTCACTAAATGTCCGATCAATTACATAGATATCCATACGAGAGAGAGAGAGAGAGAGAGAGAGAGAGAGAGATCTCAGAAAATCCTAAACTCTAAAACTCAAATCAAAAAACTTTTTGTTGATTTTTATTTGCAAATTACGTGAAAAAGATTATATAAATCGATGGCAAACACACACACAAGGGATTAAAAACACTTCAAATAACTAATACATAAATATTACATAAAATACAAACAAAAACTAAAACATAATTTAAAGTTATTTTTTCTCATTCAATGAATAGTAATCTGTTTTGAATCCGAAAATATATTTTATAAAAACAAAACTAACAGTTATTTTTATCGCAAATATTATAGATAAATGTGTTTTTGTTGTATAAATATATAAAATACTTACTAAACGATTGTTATACAGAATATTCTCTTTTGATAGACTATCGAAATCGCTGTAAATAAACAAAAACAAAACAAAAATTATTATAAAATTATTCATAATATAAAACAAAAACCAAAAAATGTTGTCTCAAAATATAGTTTAAATATATTCAAAACCTTTTCATCGGGAAAATTATTTTAAAAACTTTTTTCAAACTTCTTTTGAGAAATAAAACGAGATTTTTGTTCGCATATAAAAAGCTAACAAAAAGTTTTTTAACCGTTAATTCTCTATCAGACGTACAAAAAGTTACAAAAAATTGTTTAATACATGTGTAATAGTTATCATAATAATAGTGACTATTATATTAAATATTGTATTTATTATTCAAATGCGAGTCAAATGTATTCACACTATAAAAAACATATTTTTCAAATCCCTTTCCTATCCATTCCAGGCATACTATATCACTCCATAACCCTTAAGATACCGGTTCCCCTCCGACTACCTCTTATAGACTACTTATAAAATTAAATATAAAAATTCAATACAAAAAACAAAATGAAAAACTTATCTAAACTTTTCAAATGTAATAAACATTTCCAGAAATCAATTAAAACTAATAATAAGAAAAGAGTAGAAAAAATAAAATTTAGAAAAAATCAAAATAAATAAAACTTTTTTAGTCTCTGAACACAAAATTCAAATTTATATAAAGTATTAAAAAAGTTTTCATTCAATACATATCAAGACATTTATTTCGCACACAAAAGACTTCAAGAGAGATATACGGTATAAGCTCTCTCTCTCTCTCTCTCTCTCTCTCTCTCTCTCTCAACACAATAAACAAATCTCCAGAAAATGTTTTTCTTAAACACTATGTTATCATTGAATACATAAATAACTCTTAAATAAAACTAATGTTAAGTTCAGCGCAAAAGACTACAAACAAAACAAAAAACTTAAACTCTATTTCGATGTTAAAACCGATTTTGCATTTCAATACACAAAACATTTTCGCGAGAAAAGGGTTTCCAAACAAAAGGCGAAATGTATTTCACTTCCAGTCTAATAGTCAACTATCACTACATAATAATGTTAATACAAATGAAGTCCTAAATTATAGTGAACTAAATATATATATATATA